GGAATACTTTGGAAATTTTAATTTTGAAAAATGGAGACGAGAAGAATACTGAAAACTTTAGAATAATTGATATTTTGCACGCGTTTCTTCGGATATTTACGGCGAACAACAGTGAAGGGAAATTTTGAGTTAATTGGGGATTCTAACGATGAAGGAGAGAAGAAAATCGATGCATCACAGATCGATCTTTGGAATTTTATACTGATGCATTGACTGGAATTTGGAAATTTTGATGTTGAAAAGTGACGAGAAGAATCTTTTAAATTTCAGGATGATTGATACTTTTTGGACGTTTCTTTGGATTTTTTTACGGATAAAACAGAGAAGGGTGGAAAAGTTTGAAAAGAAATTCAAAATTGCTTTTAGAACTGGGATTTTTCCCTTTTTTAATTTCCATTCGACGAGCGAACAAATTAACGAGAATATTTAAATGCAGAGTGAAAGGAGGTGGCACGAGGAGGACTCGAGGCTTATCCAGCGATCGACTATCGATCCCGCGATTGAACGGTTGGATGAAATTATCGAGCGCGTCGCGCACGTACCATCACTTCATTCGTCGAGGCAGATCGTTTCCGATCGACGCGACGATCCAAGAAACGCTCCGGGGCACCGCGCTCGATCTTGGAAGGACGCGATGGATCGTTATCGATCACGCTCCGGATTGAGACGTATACACTGTGCTTGCACGCCGACCACCATCCTCCACGCAGAATGTACAATTCCAAGTATAACTGTGGAATTGTTGAAAACAGAAAATCGCAGGAATTTTTTAAACGAACGTAAAACCTTTGGAATTTTGTAAATTGAAAGTCTCGAGTAATATTGAAAGTGGAACACTTGGAAATAATTTCTGTGTTCTCCATTATCTCTGGATTTGTTGAAAATAGGAAAGTTGAATCATTTCGATAGTGAAATGCTTGAAATTAATTCCTGAATTCTTCATTACCAATTCTCAATAAATCGCCAATTCTCGTAAAAGAAATCAACTGACAAAGGAAGAAACCAGAAGTTCAAACTCATTAAACAGTTCATCGTCTGAGCAACCTCAGTTCCCCTCGAGCGACTCGAATATTCCCATGACCCAAACCTTCCACGATAGAACACGTACATACTCGTATATACTTACATACCTACATATCTTTCTTCTCCCTACAATAAACGGAAATAGAAGAAAAAATAGTGGAAAAAAGTCCCCAAACGAAAGCACGACTGTCTTCACCATCGTAAGAAAGACTAATATCGCAATCGAGGGACAATTTCAACACACTGTAACCTCCTAACGCCATTAATAATAAGAAAAAGAAAGAAGACAGACTTCTTTAAAAAGGAAAAAAAAATCCCAAACTTGAATAACAGAAGAAAGAAAAATAATCACAGAGCACTTTTCCAACGAGTGAACATCGTAAGCCTGCCTGAAACTTCTCATAAAACATCCTACGCTTTTATCGTTCGCCATAGAAACGGCCGTTGCTACCATTTCCTCAATTATTACTGTCATCAAGCATTCTAATCACTCATACGTTTCGTTCTTCTGTTCCTCTTCAATGGTAGGTAAAACTTCCAGTAGAAAAACAAGTCCAAAACGCAAGCGAAATAAACACGTTTCTCGTCCACGACAATCCCACGCGATACAGCGTGGAAGATGGAGGTCGAAGAAGCTGAGGAATTGGCAGTGAGAAGAGGATCGAGGAAGCTCTCTTTGATTCCATTATTGCTCGTCTAATTGGATTCCTCACCGCGATCGCTCTTGCCCAACGAAACCAATTTGGGCATTCCTACGGGTACGTGTTGCCCCTTCGTCGATCTATAGATCACTCGCGGCCGACTACCTGCTGATGGCCTGGCGAATTTCCGCTCGATTTGATACCGCGAATACGACCATGGTATACCCTCCCTGTCCACCAGGGGAAACTCAATTTTCGAACGAGCAAAAAGACGATGACACGTTCTGTTTTCAGGAATTGCACGGACAGTTTAATAATTGGGGATTTGATTGATCATCTGTGATCGTGGGTTTCTTCTTTATCTTTGGACAGAAAAGACTGCAGAGAGAAATTCTAGTTTAAAAAATTATTTCACCTAAAATCCAATTCGAAATAAATTCACCATTAACACTGTGTCGCTATTCAAACATGAGAGAAGATCATTCACTCTTGCTTTCGCTGGTATAGAACGACTCGAACATGATTAATCGCGGCTCTCCATGAAGGTAATCTTCGTCGGCCCACGGAAAGTCAAGAAACACGTGTTCTCGAGACCAGCAATGGTAACGAGGAAATGATAGAAACGCAGATTATATGCAGAATCGAGTTTCCTGTGTCGCGTGGGTGGTAATCAGCCATTGTGAATGCAAGCGCTCGCGATCCTCGTTAATTAAGACCCATCCAGAACCAGTCGCCGTTCGATGGACACGCAATAAGAGGGAAAAGGTCCACGAGAATTCCTGTTTATCGCTGAATCTCGTGTGGACTGATCGAACTTGTAGTAGAGAAGCTTGTCAGAGTGAAGTCGATGGTGCACTTTCGTTAACAAGTTGAAAAAGTCGAAAAAATTTGTGTAATTTTGTTGATAACATTTGATGCTTTATTTTTATGATTAAATGCAAGTGAGTAGATGTAATGATTGCATCTCAATTTCGATTCGAATCACTTCGAACCTAATTCGATACTTCAACCTATGCACACTACCGGCCAAAAGTTTAGAATCACCGAGCATTGCAATTTACACAAAAATTTCGAGAAAAAGTCAGCGACTTTGAAAATTTTTTCTCATTCGAATCAAAAGTAGAATTGAGATAAACTTCAAATCTATAAAAAATTATGATGAAAAGTGGGAGGTGATTCCAAACTTTTGGCCGGTAGTGTACGTAGGACTGTAACGAAAGTCCGAATATTCGAATAAATTCGAAATTCGAATACATCGAATATTCAGAATTGCTCATCGTTAGATAGACGCTCGCGAGGAATTTGAACTTTTCATGTATTTTATATGCTACACCAGTGTATGACTTAAATCTATCATAGCCTGTTCTTGCAAAGAAATATATTTCCTTTCTGCGTTAAATGCCTCTAAACTTTTGGAATAAGATTGAACTATCGTTAAGATTGGCAATTCAATTAAAGTGGCTGGTTCTAATTTAAAGGGGCAATTCGCGGTGACACAGTTACGGGAAAGAAGCGGACAGGAAGTAGTAGTAGCAGAGGGGTTTCGAAGAACCCGTAAAGGTGATTTGTTCGGCTGTTAACGAGACGTGGATGGCAGGGACGTTAATGGAAAATCATCGACAGTTACGAGGGCCGATGCACCGTTACCACTGCCGAACGTCGTAAATTACGCTCGCTGCGTTCGAAAATACCTTCAAGCTTGGCTAGTTTCTTGCTCTGCCCTGTTTAGCTATAAACTGAATGCATAACGCCAATGAATTTCTACGGTTTTTATAACGCAACATCCTCAAAACGGAAATTGCTTTCTCTTGTTACGTTAGAAAAGCACCATTTTCCCTTAGAAGAAGGAGGAAAGGACTACTGGGTGGTTGAAGGGTGAAATTTTGGAGATTATCTCCAGAAGGAAGAAAAATCAAAAATTCAAGCACCGAAAACTCAAACTAGAACGTTACACTTCTCCTCGGGCGTAAACATATGCAAAATTGGGACGCTGGAGGCTTCAACGCTTCTTCACTCGAGAAAAAAAAAAAGAAACAAGAACTGCATCACCAGAGAGAAGAAAGACCTCCAAGGCTCTCTCTAACTCTGCTGCACTCAAGAAACGACATGCTCCACCCTTTCTCCACGAGACGAAGAAAGAAAACAGCAAATAAAGAGATAGAGGGAGAGAGAGAATTGGAGCATCGAAGACTCTTCAACCGGTGGCAGAAAGAAGAAAGCGGCGAGGAGAGTGGAAGAAAGAGGAAAGAGCAGCCAGTGGCAACGTCCCTGAATGAGAAAGCGGTTCGATGCACTTGCACCTACCCTCCCGCCCCTCGTGCATTCTCCATGAGCCTTCTGTGCGGACGTGTTGCAACACGGGGGAAACAGTGTACAGGAGGCAGGATAATGCCAGGAACGTGTATACAAGAGTGGACAAGAACGGGGAAACGCGGGTTGATTCGGAAGCCCTCCCAGTTCTGTCGGGCTTTTTGCCAGTTCCGTTCGTCTCCTCGTCGCTCCCACTAGCTCTCTCTTCTTCACGAGTCCTTTCAGATAGGGCTGCAGAACTTCTAATAGTCCAACTATTCGAATACGAATTCTTCATTCGAATAATTCAAATATTCCAAGTTGAAATCCGAATTTTACTGTTATTCAAATACACCGAAAATTCGGAGTTCCGTAACAATCCTAATGCATAGCTATTAAAACAAATTGTAAGACAAGGGGTTAAACGAACGGTTCCATTACTATAGAGCTTACGAAGCTCTAAAGCACGAAGGAAAGAAACTGCTTGTCCTCGAAGAAACGATCGTCGGCCGAGGCATCAATTATCCACGATTTATAAAACGATTCGATTAGCCGGGACAACGGAGGCATGAATCCGCTCCGAGTGATCCCACTTAAGCGGGCAACGACGAGCAATCAGAATGGTTGATCGCGACGTCGCGCTGCTATCCGCGTTATTATCAATAAGTTCGTCTCGAGGAGCAATTCGCAGGCGGAGGGCCGAGTGACGTTTATGCCCCGACCTCCTCGTAAATCACCGTGTTTACAGTGCTCTACTGTTTGCCTTCGAATCTTCGCGCGGAAAAAATTCTTAACTAATGAACCAAATTAAGTAGAAAAAATATGTCACTTGAGAAAACAGAAATTGCATTGTACCCAATTTAATAGAATTCTTTTTTGGGACCATCTGACGTGGAAATATGTAACAAAGGGAGAGGGAAAAATGAAAAAAGTAGAAATGAATAAATTTCGAAAATTGGAAGACGGAGAATTGTTGGAGCAGTTCACAAGTTACACGAATTATATAAAGTTAAAGGGAAGTAGAAATGAAAGGAAACATAAACTTACCCAGCCACTGGAGTCATCTTCAAAGCAAGCGCTCTGCTGATGCAAAATCCAGCGCCACCAGTCGCGAACCAGAACTTCACCCTTTGCTGGAACAGAAAGAATAATACAGCCTTGTTAGTTGACTCTGTTGAAAGTATCCAGGATCGTGATTGATCGTCTCTAAGACGACTGATCGATCGTCCAAGTCAACCGATTATCACGAATGACTTTCCGGATTGGGGCCACGATCGATTACATTCTCGACACACGCTCCTTCTTTCGGGCAAATTGAGTGCTAGCTGGAACTTTGATGAGAATTGATTGACGTTCCATCCACGAATAAATCTCGTATTTTTCTTTTATAGAGGAAACGGAGAGGATTAAATGGATATCTGTGACCACAGGTAGTCTACGAGCATTTCTGTGGGATATTAACCCTCTGAGGACAAGAGACTCAGATATGTGTTCACAAAACACTAAAAAAGCAAACAATAAACTTACATATTTTTAAGTAATAAAAACAGTGGGCTTGACCATAAATTCATGTAGGGGAGAGTAGGAGAATTACAAACACCTAAGGAAAAAGTTGAATAAAACAAAATATTATAAAGGTAATAACTTTGTTATTCTTTATATACAAAGGCATATTATCTGTTTATATATTTTTATAATCAACTTTAACAAAATTTAAAAATAAAACCTACTTTTACTGTTCGTGATATCCTGAATGTCGTGGGGTAATCACGAACGCTATTTATTTTTTGCAAAAGTCGCTTAAATAGCCTCTTGATGTGCACTTTTGCAACAATCATAACACATAATCCAATCTTCAGATGAAAGGTTCTCGTACTTTTCTTTACAATGAATACAGTAATATTCATCTTCGTTATTTTCAGCGTTAACTTTCCTTTTGCCCATTTTCCTTTTCTTTCTTCGTATTTCTTCTTTTGTGTCTCCATTTTCTCTTGAAAATTTTCAAAATTTCTCACTACTCTACTTCTACATAGTCAGTCTTTTGGTTTCAGACATTTCCTTCGTTTGTTTCTCCATTTCATACTTCCTACCTTTGCTCCGTCTTTTTTTTACCATGATCTCTTTCATGGGAGTGCTAGTTAAAATTGTTGAATGATTTTTCTTGGCATTGCATTCAGCAGATTTTTTAGGTAGAGTGGGTAAGTTTATAATATCACAAAGTGGAATCGAACGATCAAGTGAACAATCTGGTTGGTTCAACGCAGCTTGCATATCAATAGTGTCATTATTAGTGTTCAATTCTTCGTTAAATTGGTCGCGGAACATAAACATCGTAACAAATAAAATCAAAATTGATGACTATAACACTCTTTAGTTCGAAACACGGGGTAACGACGAACGTTCGAGATTGCCCCACATAATTCGTTCGTCAGTGCCCCATAAGGTGAAAAACAAAAACAACAGAGAGAATTTTAGGTTAGAAACATCCAATAAAATATGTACTGGTTTTAAATTAATCCACAATTTGTACTTTTTGTGTTTTTAAACATTAGTATTAAAATAATTACAAACACAAAAGCTATAACTTACTTTACTTCCTTCAAAAAATTAGACGAAGACGAGCTAAAATCTTCAATAGTTTTTATCTCGATCAGTGTGCGTGTCAACTATTTTCCATTGGCGGACTGAATTGCATTCGGTACGAGCGATCATGTGGCAAAAGGAGGAATTGTTCATGTTTTCCTAACACCATTATATATGCGAATTCGCAATTACCCCACGTTCGTGTTTCCCCGACTCTCCCCTATATATGTACATTTGAGAAAAATGTAATTTAATATGATTTAGTTTTATAAAAGTAGTAAAGTAGTGACCTAATTATGTGTTATACAATTAGTATTTCGACATAGCACGTTTTAGTTTTCCGTCCGCAAAGGGTTAATTCTATAACAGAATTTTTAAAACGTTAACAATCAACGATTTCTGATATTTCTGAATTAAAAATTGCACGAGTAGTGGGAAAAAGAAATAGACAAATAGAAGCAAGGCCAGTTTTATTCGTTTGTTCTATAGTCAGAAGTGTTCAACTTCAAAGAAGAGAATTTACAGAGGATGGAAAAATCAAAGGAGAATAAAACGAGCATCGATCGCTTCGATTCCTTCTTGAATTGTGTCCACGGAAGGGTGGGCCGAAAAGAAAGACGAATGGACACTTTTCAGTGACCTGGAAAGTCAATGCAAGAAAACGATCAACTCGTGCGCGGTCTGCACACTGTAAAGCTAGATCGGAATAATAGCGATTGCTGTAAAAGCGTGTTGTACAAATACTTTAATATCAAAGTTGATTAATCGTTGAATAGTCAAATGTCATTAAGAATATAAGTTTAATTATCAATCAAGCTTGGAGTAAAAAATTTTTCTTACGTCGTTTAAAGTTTCAAGAACATTCTTCTTCATATAAAGTGAACGTTTGAATAATCGAACTATGTATTCGAATAATTCGGATAATTTCAAGTACGAATTCTTTATTCAGACAGTTCGAGTAATTCGAAGTGTTTGAATTTCGAATTTTGCCAAGTATTTCGTACACATATTTCGAATATCCGAATTATCGGAATTATTCCGAATTCTATTGGCATTCCAATATGTATCCGAATTTTTGTATCAGCCCTAGTGTGCACAGTTGCGATAGATCGAGCGTGTTGAGTCGATTTCCCTATTAGAGCCAGCCTGCCTCGCAGGAGATCTGGACGCTTATCCACGCGAGCGATAGTATCTCGCCGCTGGCCCAGAACTCGTGCTCCTTTCCTCATAGGCTAGGCGTGGTACATGACGAACAACCGTGAACCACCGAGGCATGCTGCACGTGCGTACCTACCAATGAAACCGGTCTCTCGCCACTGAAAGAACTCCGACAATACTCCCGTACGCCGTCTCCAACGACCTGAGGCCATGAATATTCGCTAAAGCCTATCCAGAGTGGAAATTGTCCATTGGAAGACCTTACGCTCCAATATGAAATGGTATACAACAGTAGTTTTGCGATGGTTTCAATTAGAATTGAAGAAATTTCAAGACTTAAGCATTGAACAACAGTGAGTCTTTCCGGTTTCGTGACTGCGGTTTTAAGTTAGCACTGTCTAGCACTTGTCAAAGTGATTTGAAAGCAAAACATTTCACATATTATTATTCTTTGATAACTTATACTGGGACTGAACCAAGTTGTAACAAAATTTTTGACACTTTCAAACTGGACGCCGCCCTTAAGCCATTCTACCCTCTAAACTTAGAGCCTCAAGAATCCACAGACGGTGGCGATTTGACCCGAGGATTCCTCGCGAGTCACCACACGGCTACTCGTGACTCCTCTCGCGCAGTGTTATTCAAATGTGATGCCTCGAAAGAAAGAGAAGGGGAAAAAGAAAGGAAGATCGAAGCACGTATAGAGGGGACGATGTTATCGGGCCACCCCAATCGTCGGTGTATATCTAATGCGTCTGTGAGGTCCCGTCCGTTTCCTCACTCTTTCGCGTCATTCGTTGGCACACCTGACTCACTTGACTCACCTTTCCTCTCTATCGAACTCGATGCTTTATTCACGCCGCCGTTATCGGGCGGACAAGCAATTAACATCGACCGCGGCTTTCGGTGGCAGTAGGGGTCAATGAACCGCATATGAGGCGATTAGAAATTATTCAAATTAAGGAATCTTTTTTTTCGAACACTTCGAGAATTTGGTACTTGGATATGGATCATGTGAAATGGAATTTCCAATGCTGAGGTATACATCTATGTATATCAGGTGATTGGAAATTGGAATTGTAGGAACCGACGGAAAAATTTTGAGGGACCCAAAACGGAAATCGAACTTGGCAGCAAGCCGAGGTTTTGCGCACTACGTCAATAACTCCCTCTCTATTTTCCCTGGTCGGTTTCGTATTTGGGTATGGAGGCCCCGATACCTACTACAGAATTACAGTAAATTCTCCACAAGTGTCAGACCGCAAGGAAGCTAAACCTGACACTTGTAGAGTCAGAGACTACGTTTTCGAGCCTCGCGCCCGCCTTTGCGCACTACGTCAATAACTCCCTCTCTATTTTCCCTGGTCGGTTTCCTATTTGTCAGTCCGCAAGTAATCTAAACCTGACACTTGTAGAGTCAGAGACTACGTTTTCGAGCCTCGCGCCCGCCTTTGTAGTTTGCCGAACGTAGACAAGGACAGCGAATAAAAGATAAGGATGAAACGTGAGTCGAGGCAACCCAGCGATTTAAATACCAACTTTTTTAATTTTACGTTTTTTTTTTGTCACGCCAGACAGTGAACGTGTTAATAAGTAAATGTTGTTCAAATTATATCGTGTTTGATGCCATTTTCATAAAAAAAATCTCATCAATATGTTAAGAAAAATTTCGGGATAAAAAAACGTAAAATTAAAAAAGTTGATATTTAAATCCGATGGTTGCCTCGACTCACGTTTCATGCTTATCTTTTATTCGCTGTCCTTGTCTACGATCGGCAAACTACAAAGTCGGGTGCGAGGCATGAAAACGTAGTCCCTGACTCTACGAGTGTCTGGTTTAGCTTCCTTGTGGTCTGACACTAACAGCGAGCGAGATAACATAGACGCAGCAATGACGCAGACCTAGGCGTAGGAACATCTATGCTGACACTTGTAGAATCCAAACTGACTGACACTTGTAGAGAATTTACCGCACTTGATTTTTGGAACAGCTAGACTGTGGAATAATGAGAATTTTGGTATTTGGTATGAAAGTGTTGAGAAGGGAATTGTAAATTAAACAATAACAACATCTAGTACAATTAGGCAAAACTATCAAACGTTTTGGAGCAGCCCTGCTCGACACTTCGTCAAAATAGCCGTAGTCATATACCAGAAATTATACCGGAAGGACGACAAACTAAACAACAAACAACCCATGTAAACTTACTTGTTAGTTTAAGTATAATAACTTTATATTACAATTAGAGTATAGTTATAGAAAATACCCTGGGCATAATTAACCTTAACCCTTTGACAGTCTAATAAAATAATGAATCACTTTTTAACAGTTACGCCGTGTGTGATCATTTTTAAAACACGGGATACATAATCCTACGTCACAGTTATGACA